TACTGACTACCTACTGGTGTGCCAGGTAGCACGCTAGATAAAACAAGGTGAGAGTAAGACAGACCCTGTCCTCTGGAACCACGAGTCTAGCACAGGGACAGGCACCCCCAACATACCTGGTGGATAAACTAGTATGCCTCGTCACATTGGTGACACCACACCACACCTAGGAATACAACTGCATAACCACGTAGGTTGTGTACAATAGGTATAGTACGGCTGTTTATGCCTCTGCACTCCTGATCCAGGGTTTTATCTCCCCAGTTATCTCAGCTTGAATCTTTACCACGGCACCTTGCCTTCCTTTGAATAGTCATTTACAAGGTAATCATACTCAGCTCCACACGCTGGGAATTCTGGATTAGTAGCCCCAAAAGAATTTTTGAGTGCAATCAGTGTTCAGGAATAATAAGTATAATTAGACAGCAGTCTTTCATTTCTGGATGTATATTTGGTACATATATATATTTTTCAGAACAGATACTAGGGATTTATGAATATATTACACTTATTTTTTAACCAGATAAAAACTATATACATGTTATAGTTTTATATATATATATGTTATTATATAGGTTTTTATCTGGTTAAAAAATAATCCAGGTGTAATAGGTCATAAACCCAGCGCTGTGAGGACAGGGAAAGGCAGGGCGGTGAGTGACAGCAGGACCAGGAAGACCAAGATTTACAGTGGGCTGAGTGGGAACCGGGGTTGGGTGCTTGGTGGGAGGAACTACCGCCCTCGCCCTCTAGGCAGCAGCTGATAGCCAAAGTAGTGAGCAAACAACAGGTGGTAGGTAGACCAGGAGAACAGCAGGCAGCAGGATGTCTGACCTGAGGCAGAGGGGCAAAGGAAGCCCAGTAGATAGGTAGAATACAGACACAGGGACTCTAGAATCTGGAAACTAAGAGCTGGAGGCAAGTAAGTGTTGCCACCAGGAATAGCTGTTTGTGCACAGCAGTCTGGGCTGTAGGGCTGGGGCTGAGTCCAGACACCAAGCAAAGAAATTCAAGTTCTAGGCAGGTTCATAGGCCAGGGTTTCAAACACAAGGGCTGTGAGTCAGTTCCTAGAAAAGGGCCAGGGTCAGGGCTCTCCATGTAAGCCGCAGAGGCAGCAGGACACTGTTGAACTCGGGACTGAAGCTTTGAAAATTCTTCCTCCTTCAGAGCCTAGGAAAGATTGGGTTCCATGGGAAAGGGTACATAAATGGTAGGGGAAGGAAGAATGCAGAGGCCATGGACTAGGTAGGACCAAGTGATGGTTACTTTCCTGCAATATCCTCAGCCAACTGTCTTTCAATCATAGTAAACAAGTGCTTTGAAGCAAAGAGAAATTAAAATGGAGTAAGGGCTGGGCATTGGTGGCTCACACCTGTAATCCTAGCACTTTGGAGGTCGAGGTGGGAAGATCATTTGAGGCCAGGAGTTGGAGACCAGCCTGAGCAATAGCAAGACCCTGTCTCTACAAACAAACAAAAAAATTAGCTGGGCATGGTGGTGCACACCTGTAGGCCCAGCTAATCAGGAGGCTGAGGCAGGAGGATCTCTTGAGCCCAGGAGTTTGAGGTTGCAATGAGCTATGATGATGCCACTACACTCTAGCCCAGGCAAAAGAGATCCTGTCTCAAAAAAATTAAAAAAAAGGAAAGAAAAAGGAGTAAGGAATAAGTTGTTTAGTAAAAGTAGAAGGGGAAGTAAAACACTGTACCATTGCAAAGAAAAGAACAAAGTCATGCTTTTAAACTTTATTTTGTACACTGAATTACGTACATCTATCTTTTTCTTAAACACGATTTATGTTTTGGCTTGGTCCTTCTAAATCATGATGGAGTGGTACTATTAACCAATAAAATGATATAGTAGTGTCCATGCTGAAAAATGAAGCTGTTTCCTCTACTCTGCACAACACCTGTCTATTTAATATTGGGTTTGAAACCAACCTAAAGTGTCCCCCTACCAATGACATCCCTTCTCTAGTCCCTCTTCACTGGGCTCTAATTCATCTCAAGACTCATACAGATTTAGTGCTGCCTTTTGCCTCATAAAATCTTTACAACAGGAAAATGACTTTGGACGGATTAACTTGGATTAATCTATTCAACTAGGATCCCTGAAGGCAGAAGTCCCCATTTCACTGAAGATGATGTAATCCATGGCTTCCCCCGCCGACCCTCATGCTTTCCCACGTAGCCAGCCATGCCACACTCTGACACTGGAAGGGTCCTGGTGATAAAGTTCAGAAATGCTTAGAGGAATTCTATGCTTATCTATCTCACTTATTTAACAAATACTGAGCACTTACCACATGCCAGGCATTAGGCTCTGAGGAGAGAGTTGAAAACAGATTGACAGTCTTCGCTGTCACGGAGTTTACATTCTGGTGGGGCAGAGGGACTCAGATCATAAACAAATAACTAAATGAACAAAATAATTTCAGATAGTAAAAAGAACATGAAATCGGCTGTGATAGGATGTTCACTTAAGATAGGTATTCAGGGAAGGTGTCCTCGTGGAGCTGAGAACTATATAGGAAGAGTCATTTCCATTCCAAACAAATACTGATTCAGGCATGTACAACTACCATTCTTGGGACCTATACTTCAAATCAACAGTGCAGAGGGAAAGGCCCATTTCCAGCCTATTCTAGTAACCTACTAAAAAAAAATTACCACATTAGATAATGTTAAATTTGGACCTTGAGGTGTTACCTTTGAGTTTAGGGGCCAAATCATACATGTCCAGATGTCTCCTTGAGCTTCCTGGCTGCTCTGTTCATTCAGTGGGCAAGGCAAACCGGAGAAACAGGCTTGCATGCACAAACATGCCAGCAACCAGAGAGAACACCAGGCCCCGCTAGTTGTCGGTAGGTAGGTTGCTGAGGGTTTAAGCCTGGGCACTAGGTGGGCCTTATCTAAGGAGAGCAAAAGGATATCTAGCACAATTTCCAAAGATTTTAAAAGGAAATCCTTCTGTAGAGAAGCAAAGATACCACAACTTAAAATCTGACACAATTTTGCTCTCATTTCTATAGTGGCACATTACATAAGGCAGGAAACACTGATTTGTACATTTCAGAAACTTGTACTAAAGTTCCAACCTGAGATTGTTAGCTATTTTATAGACTGATTCACATGTCTAAAAATCAAACTAGGCTTTAGAGGGCATAATAATACACTTGCCGTGGTTTTCTCTGCCATGACACATTGCTCAGCATACATCAAGGAGCTCTCTGCCCAATCAATCTGAATCTCCTTGAGCAAAAGGTACACCCTTTCCTTTAAAATTAAAGCAGAGTAGTATGTAGGAAACCTGAGAAAGAAAAGTGACCGATTTTCGTTGAGGCGAGGAATCTCAAGTATCATATTCTTCCTGCATAGCAAGATACCACAACCCATGACTCTCAAACTTGAGACAGCCAAAGAAAGAGCTCAGAAAAAAGATTAGAGAGGAAAATAGAAATGAAAAATAATTCGGAATTACGGAGGGCATCTGAAGCATTAAGGGCAAAGGTGGACAAGAAGGACATAATAAAAGAGGCACAAAAAAATCTAAACAAAAATACACGGGAATTTAAACATTTACATTAGACTATGGAATACTCTGGAATCTAAACATCTCTTCAGGCAAGAATGTGTGCAAATCCAGGTACCAGTGCCGGGCACATTCTTTTCCTTCTCTTTTTACCCAGTTTTAAAAGTGATTTTTTTAAAAAAGGGATTTAAAAAAATATTATCTTTTGCAAAGTGACTTGAACTCAGGTCGTTTGTGGAACTACTTACCAAAGAGGTTAAGGTCACATTTGGTTAAACGGAGCCTATGGCCTCTTTCTTCACCTACAGGTCAGTGAATACTTTTAACAGCGTTTTCTACAAATGAGGAGAAATGTAAGGAAAGAAAGAGGTAGTGACAATTATTTGCGTTTTCCGAACGGAGGAAATGAGCCTCCGGAGGGTATACGAGGTCACTAGAGTGAGCCAAAGGTAGAGATGTGAGGAGTATTTATAGTCCGCTGACTTCAGTTCAGACGGGCTCGGGCCGCGGCTTATCTTACGCCTTTGGAATTCACGGGCTCGCAGATCACAGGGGCCCGAGCGGCCACGGCCGCGCCCCCGGATCGATGCTCCCCTCAGCTCCCGCGCGCCGCTCTCCTCCCTCCGTCGCCGTGTGGGCGCGGTGGCAGAGAGCCCGGGAAGAGAGGCCGGGCCCAGGGGAGGGGGGCCGAGGGGTGAATAAGGACTACATTTTTCTTTTCTTTGTCGCACCGACTACTACCACGACTTGGCCAATCTCCAACGCTGGTGACTTGGTGCCTTCTGAGCGCGCTGGCTGACTTTACAATTCAGCTGACTGCCGCTCCCGTGCGGCGTGTGTCGGTCGGAGAAGGGGTGCACGCGAACTGGGGGCCTCGGGAGGCGGCGGCCGTGTCCGCGCTGCCCTCGGCCGCCTCCGTCGAGAGCGCTCGCGGCCCCGCCACGGCGGCGGTGGGGCTGGCGGGAAGGGAAGGACGGGCGAGCCCGCGCGGAGAAGCGCCCCCGCCCCAACAGCAGCGCGGCGCCCCCTTGCCGGCGGCGGGTCCTCCTCCCCGGCAGCGGGGCGCCGGGCTCCAAGGACCCTTCGGGCGCTTTCGCCGCGCGCTCGGCTGCGTTCGTGTCGCAGGCGGGCGGGGCCGGCGCCCGGGGTCGGGTGTGCGCGCGCCGCGCCGAAGCCCGTCCCTCCCCCAGGCCCCCGCGCCCGCGCCCGCGCCGCCCCTTCCCCCCGTGCGAGTGTCGGCGGTGGCGACGGCTGCCGAGATTGGAATCCGCCTGCCGGGCTCGGCGAAGTAGGAGGGAGGAGGAGGAAAAAGGAGGGAGGAGGGCGGAGGGAAGAGGGAGGAGGGCGGGCAGGAAGGCTCGGGCCCCGGCGCGTCCGTCCGCGCGAGACGAGGATCGCTCGGCCGCGCGAGGGGCGACCGGGCCTGGGCCGCGCACGCCGAGGGCCGAGGCCGAGCGAGGCCCCCGCCGCGCCCCCCGCTCCGCGCCGAGGGCTGGAGGATGAGTTCCTCGGGGTCCGGGTGAGTTGGCGGCCGGGAAGTGCGTGTGCGGGCCGCAGAGGCCAGCCGCGGCGGGGAGGCCGGCGCGGGCGAAGTTTCGGAGGGAGCCGGGCGCCGAGGCCCGAGCGAGGGGCGGCCGGACCCGGCCACCCCGCGGGGCCCCCGCCTAGACTGGCAAGGCCGCGGCCCCGCTGGAGACCCGCCGCCCGGCCCCTCTTTTGTTCCCCACCCCGGGTTGCAGGCCCAGTCGGGGCTTGGCGGTTTGGGCGAAAGCCCCGCCAGGGACGCCTCTGGAACCTTACATGGGAAAGGCGCTCACCTCCCGCCCCGGCGCCGCGAGGTTGATATTCGTGATTTGCCTCTGTGGGCTTGGGCAAGAAGGGAAAAAAGAGCGAAGTCAGTTTGGTGGGGGTCGCGCCGGAGGAGCCGCTGGCCGCCTCCACACCGGCCCGCGGGAAGGTGCCGCGTTTCTGCGAGGTCTGCTGTCGTTTCACCTGTTTTCCTGCGCGGCCTCCGCTGCCATGTCTGTTGTGATTCTGCACTTCAGCTTCGGAAACTTTCTGCTGGATCGCACGGACTCTTTTTTCTCTCTTTCCAGACTCCTAGTGGAAAGGTTTGGCAAGAAAAAAAATGAGCTTGCGTCAGGGAAGAAAAATAATATGCTATGTGTTAGGGTCTGGCGTTTTGTGACTTGTACTCTTTCATATTCTCAGATGTTTTAATTTGATCAAAGTGCTGCAGGTTTTCTCTTTTAAACGGTTAACAAGCTGTTCTGAGTATATAGTATGAACTTGGCACCAGTATTACGTCATTTAATCCTTATAACAACCCTGGTTTATTGTATTCCTCGTTTTTTCTTTTTTTAGAGGAGGAAACCAAGTTGCAAAGAGGTTAAATAGCTTGTTTAAGTGAGTTGGGATTTGAACCCAGGAACATCGTATTCAGGCTTACGAGTTTTTTGTTTTGTTTTAAAGCACACTTTGCAAACATTTTTACCTTTAGAAACATTTTTAGTTACTCATACTTGAAATTATCGCTATTTTGTTGAAACCAACTCCTTTATTGTATTTACTTGTAAGAGGAGTCAAACTTTGAATTAAAGTAGAATGTAACTTAATGCTTCTCATTGTTTTCGACTGTTGAAATAAAGACTGTAGATCAGAATTATTTAGATTTTTAAATTTAAACCAAAAATATGGGCAATTCTCTGATCTAGGAATGGGTTGAGTTTATGAAAGGTCTATTGAAATTTAGAATCATTTTTAATAGAACCAGTACTCTGTTCCTGTTTTATTTTTTCTCCCTTCACCTTCTGCTTGGAGCCCATTTGAAACCTTTTCTGCTTTCTTCACTTCTGCCCTCTACAGAAAAGATTGAGGCAGCAGGTGGGAGCTCTTTCCCTAGATTCTTTCTGTCCTCTGCTTTCCTTCCAGCTCAGAGGAAGAATATTGTTTTGTCCTTCTTAGTAGGTAACACCTTGTTTCATTTTTCTCTAATTTTCCTACTTAGGAGAGCATGAGTTATCCTCTCTGTCCTCTTTGGGATCTTAAAAGTTCAAATGTACTGAAGATTCCTTCCATTTACAAAAACCTTTCTCTAAGTCTGCTACTCCCTCAAGCTGTCTTGTTGCTGCTTTTCCTTTTCAAATGATATTAACATTTTAGAACGTTTTTTCATTACAAAAGTCATTAAAGAAAAATTGCAAAATAGAGCAAAATTGAAATAAAGGTAAAATTCATTCATTCATAATGAATTGATAATCCCATTTCTAGAGTTTACCAAGAGCAGTCTATTCTTCCTGCGTTTTCTTGGTGACTCTCCATTCTTAACCCCTTGTTATCTGGATTTCACCTTCACAAATTCAAGTACCTTTTCTAAGTCCTTTCCTTGAGTTTCTCCTCTTTTTGGCTTCCATTCGTCTGTACATTTTCATTCAGCAAATACTTGTCTATTATAATGCTCAGAATACAGTAACAGATACAGTCTTTACCCTCATGGAGCTTAAAGTCCAGTGGGGGAGACATATATCGAAGAATGAATTTTATAATTAAATATAATTGTGATTTTAATTAGAATGCAGAGTATTATAAGAGCTTAAAATGGTGACTTGACCTGGTGCTGCTGGGAGAATCTGAGAAGGATTCCTTAAAAATATTACCCTGGAACCCGGGACAATTGTGAAGGATGACAACAATTAACTAGATGAAAAAGGGGGCTTATGTGACATACTTTGTTCTTCTTTGCCCCTTTTCTGTCTTCTCTTCTTCCTTTTTCCTCTAATATAGGTGTTCTCAAAGTTTCACTTTTCAGGTAACTTTTCTGTATGTCTCTAGTCCCTTGACATTATTGTTCAGGCTTTTATATTTCAATAATTCCCAATTCTTTATTCTTTCTTTTCCACACTTGAATCCTGTTTTTTCAGTTGCTTTATGCATTATCTGTACCTGCTTGTTCTGGTTCAGACTGAGCTCTTTTTCTTTCCCAAACTTGCTTCTCTGGTGTTCCGTGTCTCCGTTGATGAAATACCAAACACAAACTGTTGCCCTTTTTATCATATCTTGTGGTAGCCAACATCTGTGATTCTGGTTTCATGATATGATAACTCTTCTAGTCTCCATTCTTGCTAACTCTGCTATAATTCCTAATTCATATTGGTATCAAGGTAGCAATTGAATCATAAAATGAGCTGGGTACCTTTCCTTTTTCTCTTTTCAGTAGCAGTTTAGACTGGGCTTATCTGTACTTTGAAAGTTTGGCAGATCTCACCTGTAAGTCCATTCAGGCCTAGATCTTTTTTCTGGAGAGGACTTTGAATACCATTTCAGTTTGTTTAGTAGCTGTTGGTTTGTATAGGTTTTCTACTTCCTGTGTGAATTTTAGTGTTTCATATTTTTTCCAGAAATTTATTTATTGAGTTTTCAAACCTAGTGTTATTTGTCTTTCATATAATTTTCTCTCTCCTCCCCCACCAACCCCATGTATGTGTGTAGACATTTTTAAAATTTTTTTTTGGCTAACTCTAAATCAGGTTCTCGTCCCACTTGGACTAATGGTTAGGACCTTCTTACCTTCACTTTCTCCTTTATCCAGTTTATCGTATGCATTTCTGCCTAAATTAATGTTGAAGCCAGTTCTTATGAATTCTCTGCACAGGGGTTTCCAGTGTCTTCGATTAAATGAAGTTCTTTCTATGATAATTTGCCTCAGATTTGCCTTATTCTTACCTATTGCTATTTTTGTTCCTTGCCCATATTCTTTTTTCCCCCTTCTCCTGGATTGTCGTTGATACTGTTTTCTCTACTTGGACTGCATACATGTCCAAATTGTCATATGTCCAGGTCCTACCCATTCTTTAAGCCTCATTTCAAATTCTACTTTTTTCTCAAGTCTTCCATTTTCTTCCTCTGGATGGAATCTCTTCTGAAGTCCTTCATAGTTTTTTTTAAGGCATACAATTTCTTATCTAGTATTTTCTTATTTGTCTTTTTAAAAAATCACCTTTATTGAAATATAACTTGTACACAATGTTATGTGCAAGTTAAGTGTGCAGTTTCATGATTCATTTGGTCTTTTAGAGCAGCTTTTTTTTTTTTTTTTACACAAATATTAGCTCCACTACTAGATTGCAGGCTGTCTGTAACTGACTTTGCTGTATAGTAAAATACATAAATGGGGAGAAGCTCCTGTGTGGCCTAGCAGTGGCTAGAGAACTGTACTGGTCTGTTTTGGGTCTTAGGAGCAGGGAGCCATGGAGAGGAAGGAAAATGGGTTTCCTCTCATGCTAAATTTTGAAGTATGAACCCTTGTCTTTCCTTTGACCCTCTCCCACCTTTGCTAGTTTTCATGCTTTTAGAATGTCTTTTTAATACCACAGGGTCCATATTGACCAGTTGGACCAAATCTTTTAAGACTTACAAGATGAAATGTTGAATTGCATTGAATTATGTCAGTTGTAAGATGCACCATAATTTTATAGACCACTAAAGAAAATAGGTGTTTAGCTGCAAGAAACCATTGATTGTAGGGTGCACCCCACTTCCAGAGATACTAAAATATGAAAAATATATGCATCTTAGAATTGATGAATAGGATTTCTCTTCCTAACCAAAACATTCTGTTAGTGTGGATGTTGAAAAGAAAAAAATTTCAACTCCTGGGAGTGGTTCTAAAGGAGGATGCTTGTTAAACCTCTTTTTAAGTGAAAAATTTCAGGCAGGGTAGAGAAATACTTATTTTTGAATGGGATCTCCCACAACTAGGTAGGTCAGTCTGGTTGGGAAGTACTTTGACCCCCAATTTTCTGTATTTTCCCCCAATTTCTTTTGCTTATTTTCTGAACTCACAACTTTTGTAAGAGCTGGTAATTTTCATGAAATGGCACAGACTATGTAATAGGGGAATTGTGGCAGAATTGTGATGCCCAATTGTATGGATCATTTTAAAGATAAGCTTTAGTGTTCATATAGTGTTAACAATTATGGTATACTTAGTTTTTAAAAAGTGAATCCAAAAATGTTGTTTGGATATTTGACTAAATCGTAATGTGCATCAGTTTTTACAGCCAATATTTTAAAGACTATTCTTAAAAAATAAAGACAAAATGATATGCCTAGAGATCCCCAGTACTGTTCTTTGAAGAGAGCACTAGTTAGACACATAAGGAGAGCAGATTGGTGGAATGCATTTCAGGGTGGGCTGAGAGGATCCCTAAACCAAGTTCATATGGGCAGTTAAATATAGAACTAATGAATAGGCATTAAATAGATAAGGAAACTATTTTTGATTATCTTTTATTTACTCTGATATGGACTTTGTTACTCTTCCTTTTATAATTTTGTGTTTTGGATGAATCTTGTTTTCTCATGGTATAGATTTGTTATACCACTAATGTCTGAAACAGTGGAGCTTGGCTGTTCTTCTAGCTGTGTATAATTGGCTGTTGCCTTATAAAGGAGGATGAGTTATGCCAGGCATAGGGATAAAATAATCAGATTTGCAGTTTAGGGGGATATTAGTTACAC